CTGGCAAGCCCAAGGGGGCACCGGCAAGGAGAACTCGGGTACCGTTTTTTAGAACCTAAACCGGGAGACTATGGAGAAATAGAGCATACCCCGAAACCACATGCCAAAACCTAGGATATTTTTACCCTAACCATGTTTCTTTTTGTTTTGTTTTTTTCTTCCTTCCTTTTGTCACTTTTTTTTTACTTTACTAACTTTTTGCATTTGTGTTTGTTTTCTTAGCATTTGCATCATAACAAGAGGTCATTGATCCCTAAAAAGATGTTTGTTATACACAAAATAATATGAAAAAATGGACAAATGTGTTGTAATGCAAGAGATTAAAAACCATGAGGTATGACTATGGTTCGAGAAGACTCAAAAGGAAAAGGGAGACAGTCTTCAAGGGAGCTATGTGTCAGAACTGGTTAGTTACGCCTCTATCAGCCTAAAACAGAACAATGTGCAAGAGCTTCGAGACATCTGGGACAGTTGGAAGAATGATCGGAAACAGAAGTTCAACCAACGGTACGGTGACATTGCGCTTTTACTCCAAGTTAAGACTGATGAGCCTTTAATCAGAGCCCTGGTTCAATTCTAGAACCCGGGATATAGTTGCTTCACTTTTAATCGGGAGAACATGGTGCCCACCATTGAAGAATACACTACCCTACTACACTGTGAAAATATCAAACTGGAGCGAGCCTACATTAAACACATTAAAAGTTAGCATTTTAAGAATACACAACCAACAAATTAATTGGCACCGAAAGGGCAGTTCAAGGGTGTTAACCCTTCCTTGACTGTAACCGACTCCCGAATCCGACATATCACTGGTAAGACGCAGATCAGGTAAGAAATAAGGTATTCGATCAACCCATTTGTTTTAAAATAAATGATCGGTGACGACTCCTAATTCGTTTAATCCAATTCGAAGCCCAATTCCGGGGCCCAACCAAAAGACGGTTCCGACAATATGGTAAGTAAAAAGGGATTAATGATAGTATTTGCAGATGTATGCCTTTTGTTTATATGAAATTGTATATGGTTATATTATATGTTTTATATGCCTTACTAAGTTTATGACTTAGCGTGTGATTGTTTTACACGTAGGTTGGGAAAGCAAAAAAGAGAAGTAAAGAGGAACAAGACAGGTCAGTTCTCCTTACCGAAGATCATATCAGAAATGAAGTTGAATTACATGTATTTGGTTATATAGAATTTAGTTGGCATGTAATATAAAAGATTTGAATCTGATATGCTCTGAACAAGTTTTGTAATGTTTAAACGTATTTTTTTGTAAATGGTAAATGTATAGAGATGGACGTTTTAAATTTTAAGAGTTTATATATGTTTTACGAAAATACTAAAGCAGTACTGTAGCAGGGAATCAGTTCCCTGTAGCAAGGGAATCGGTTCCCCTCTGACAATATGAAAATATTTAGCATTTGGTACTGTAGTAGGGTACTGTTCATACAGTATTTTATTGTTCATAAATACGTTTTTGCCTCAAAATTTTATAACGAACACAATTCAACAATATATGATCATATTCTCTTAATATAAGTTTAAATGTTTTGTTATTTTGCAAGAATAAAGCTTTTAAAATGACAATGTGACATCTCGGACTCGTATCCGGGTCGGATACGGATTGGGGTGTTACAGTATATAGATAACTTTTAAAAAATTGTTTCAATATAGTACTCTAAACATACACTAATTAAGTAATTAAAAAAATAGTTATATACACGCGTTGTAATCGTTGTCATTAAATTATTAAAGAAATGATTTATATATATACGTGTCATAACCGTTGTCCGATTAACTCGTGCTCACGTAAATATGTGTTTTTATACATACAACTATACAATTTTTTTGAGCAAAACTCATAAAACTTTTTAAGTTTTCATCTACTATATATATATTTTTCTTATTTTTGAATGACATCAGTATAAAAGAGATTGTCCAAAAATTCCATTTATCATCAAATATAAATGTTGTATCTCACACAATTACATTAGAAAATATTTATATATTTGTGTTCATTACGTTAAAAGAAATTAAATTTTGATTATTAAAATATTAAATATTGTTAATTTATTAATATAACATGTTAATAAATAGGGGTGTTTGCAGTAGGTTAACCGAATAAATGGTCGGTTTACCGTTATAACGGTTATTAAATTTTGTTAACCATTACCTAATCATTAAGAAATAGTTAATCACTAACGATTAATTATCATTAACGATTCAGTTATAGGATAAGTTATGATTAACCTATTACAATTTTTTTCAAACATAACATAACTTAAAATTTTCATAAAATTTACGATGATGAAAATATATATATCTAGAAAAAATCTTATTATATATATATTTATGAGGTATATTCATTTTTTTAGAGTTTAAAATTGTGTGTATATTTATATTTTGTAATTTAAAATCATTTATTTCTTACATATATGTTTGATTTAATGTGATCTTATATAAGATAAACATGATAACTAAAAATAAGAGGAATCATTTTGATTTTATTTTTAATTCTATTCTAAAAATATATAATTAATTAATTATAATTTATTAACGGTTAATTGATGGTTAACCATTTATTAAAATTTATTAACTGTAACCGTAATCGTAACCGTTAATCGATATTTCAACGGTTTGGTTAACCGAAACGTTACGAAACCATTAAATCATAACGTTTCGATTAATTAACTTATAAAATATAATGGTTACATCGGTTAATGGTTACAGTTAACGGTAACATATTAATTTAAACATCCCTATTAATAAACGACTTTAATTTTTGTTTTAACATTTAATTTTTAGATAAATTACTAATTACGATTTATTCCTACGTAACTTATCACTACTTTCTGAATAAATGAAAATCATCATCATTCATCCAAAAAAAAAATTGCTAAATATGGTCCTTTTGTAAAAGTAATTTGACGAAGGGTTTGAAAGCAATGGAGCTCATTTTTTTTTGAGAAATGCTGCCAACTCCATTGTTTTCAAAAACATGTCACAGGCCTCCGCCGTACTGTGCCCTGCCCCAATCCTACCGCCACTCTCACCAAACCCGTCGTCAAATTCCACGTGACAGCCGCCAAGACGTTTCCAAAACTAAGCAACCGCAACCTCAGAGTAGCCATCATAGGGGGTGGCCCGGGCAAGAGGCTCGGCTGCCGAAACTCTGGCAAAGGGCGGCATCGAGACGTTCCTAATCGAACGCAAACTCGACAACTGCAAGCCTTGCGGTGGAGCCATTCCGCTTTGCATGGTGGGTGAGTTCGACCTACCGTTAGACATCATCGACCGGCGAGTCACCAAGATGAAGATGATCTCTCCGTCAAACATCGCCGTCGACATCGGGCAAACGCTGAAACCCCACGAGTACATCGGGATAGTGAGGAGGGAAGTGTTAGACGCTTACTTGAGAGACAGAGCTAAGGAGAATGGGGCTAACGTTATAAATGGATTGTTCTTGAAGATGAAAATGCCTAAGAGTTGAGATGATTAACTAAGGAGGAGGATGACTTTATTTATAACAAAATAATTTCCCCTCCTTCTTATACACAACCAATGTGTGACTTTGTCAAAAACCAACAAATCTCTACCTTGGCAAATTCCACACACATCTCTAAAAAAACAATCTTTTAATTTGTAACTTGGTCAATATTGTTACAAATTAAAATATTTTTTTTAGAGATGTGTGTGGAATTTGTCAAGGTGGAGATTTGTTGGTTTTTGGCAAAGTTCCACATTGGTTGTGTATAAGGAGTGGAAATTCTTTTGTTATAAATAAAGTCATCCTCCTCCTTAGTTAATCATCCCACAAATATAAGCCTTCTTCTATATTAAAGGCTATTTGTATTCTTTCTCTCTTTGTAATATTTCCTCTATTAGTGAAATATTTTGGTGTTCTCTTTTATGTCTATTTAATAACTATTGTCGGGTATAGTTGTTGTTAATTATTGTCCTATTAAAATTACTTGTCTTGGTAGTTTTGTCTAAAGAAAGTGGGTTTTAAGAGGGACCATTGTGACCCCTCCTCTTCCATTCTTTCTCCTCAACATCATCTGGTTTCTCTCCTTCAATAGCAATGTCTAGACCCTGTTGAAATAGGGCATCTAGAACCTCACTTTGCCACATGCCGAAATGACCGGTGCCATCAAAAATCTACACTGTAAATCTAATATTTGTCACAGCATTTCTTGCCAAAATTGAAGATGAAGAAGCGTCTGTCATTTCTACTACAAATTCTATTTAATAGCTGCCAATGCGGAATGTCAATTATCCCAATGAAATTTTTTCTGATGTGGAAGATCAGCCTAAGCCGCAACCACAGAGCATACTAAAATAAACCAAGATCGTTGATACCAATTGTTGTGGAATTTGGGTTAATTTCCACCAATAACAGATTCACCTTCGAAACTATTATCTAGGTGACTAGTGTGAAAACAATTGCACTAAAAATCACCCCAAGGTATATTCCCAGAAAAGAGGAGGGGTCACAATGGTCTCTCTTGATCGGAGTCTAGACCTTAGAAGCAACACCATGCTCTGTGCTATCCTCTGCTTGTTCTCATTGACTGAAGAGCTGAATTCTATCAAACAAAAATGGAGGAAATCCCAAGGAGTTGCTGCTTTAGCTTTACACTGTGTATAATGGTGTAAGGCTTCATTCTTCAATACTGCTGCAAATTTCTCTGTAACTTTGGAGGATTGGTTACAGTTGTACAGTTAACATGTAAGTTTCCTGCATCCACTCAAACCCCATTATTTTTTAAGGTGTTAATTCACAGAATATGATGCTTAAATGAGGAGATTTAAGATCAGAAAATGAGAAATTAATTCAGTTTGAAAGACTGAATTTTAATGCAAGTATTTTCTGGATTTTGAAAACTGCGCTTGAAATTGATCTCTCTGTAATGAGACTTGAGATTTGAATACACCTCAACAGAATCAAGAAAGAAATAAATAAAAAACTTGCTGCACAAATCTCTCAAGCAAACTACAAACAAGAAGATTAATTTTACAACTTGATTTAATGTCTACTCCGTACACTTACATAACAATGCCAAATTTGTTCTACACATTGGAAGAAGTCCATGTTCATCTTCATTTCCATCTTATTTTACAGCTTACAAGCCTCCATCGAAAACCCAGATTTTTTAACTAAACCTCAAATGATATCACTCCCTGGGTTCTGTTCCTGAATTCTTCTTAAACAGGGCTAGAGCATCACTATATACGGCAACCATGTTTGAGAATACGGCCAGCACGATCATGAAAACCGCCAAGATCTTGTCCTTCTTCGTTGCTATGGAGTGACGATCCCTGAAATGCCGATCAAAAATGGTTTAAAGTAACTCTATGTTTAGTCTCATATATGAAGGATGCTCAGCAACATGAATGAAACCAAGGGAAACTGCGGCGGAAACTCACCTAAGAGTAACAGCTGCAGGAAAAATGAAACCAAGGCAAACTGCAGCAGTTGCTCCTGTGAATTGGAATGCATCCCAGATGCTGGGGATGAAATTTGCACCCAAGAAGATAACCGTGATGAGTCCGGCAGTAGTGAAAGCAAACCTCGTATTAGATAGAGCTAGCGGCCTTGCAGACGGGAACAGGAGTCCGTCCATGTTGAGTCGAAGCGGGTAGAAGACAATGGGAAATACAAGCATGAGGTGAGCAGCATAGCTAACACGGACGGTGTCATTAAGGAGAGAGCTATAGGGAATGCCAAGGTCAGTATCGAAGTTGGCAAGCACGTCGTCCAACGTAGCGTCACCGAATAGAAGGAAGCTGAATAAGCTTGTCATTATGTAAACAATCGAGCATAGAGCAAGTGCTGTTTGCACAACAGGTGCTATCTGGGTAGAGTCTTCCAGTTCATTATCTATGCTGTGAACTGCAAATTTAAGCACACAAGAAATTCAGCCAACGTGAAGGCTGAAAAAAACTGCTGAACCAAGAATCGAATTGATCGCATACCGTTGTAGTGGCAGATATACGCTGTGACTAAAACGGGGACTACGGTGAAGAGTTTCCAGAACGAGGTCATATCGGTGACATCTGGTAGCAATCTTGGCATCAGTATTGTTCCACCTATTAACTTGACAATTGCTATTCCCACAGTAATGACAAGAAACACAACTGCCAGAGCAACTGATAAGGCAGATGTAAATCTCAAGGAATCTGCAACAATAAACATTCAATACAAACTATCCAACTCAGATTCTAAAAGGATGAAGTTCTGAGAGTTCAAAGGCTGTAATGAAGTGTAAAGATGAGCATAAGTTTGCTGCTAGATTCTAAAAGGACAACCGAGACACTAACCGATTCGCTTGAAACATGCCAATGGAGAGAAGATCCCAAGTGTAGTAACAAGGAGGATGAAGGCTCGGCCGTTCCACCAGTGTTCTCCAAACCACCCTTCAAGGACACCAGCATGGTGAACACCACTTGATGATGTTCCAGAAAGAACATCACCTTCAAGAACCAATAAACCATCATAAGCTCATAAGCAAATTTACACATTTCCGTTAAGATCAGGTAAGGGAAGAATCTAGTAAACAAATGATTCATCATGAAATGTGATCAGAGCTCATATTCAAAACACAATTGGAAATCAAAGAATCGAATTAAAACGAAGTCATACCGATAATAATCATATACACAATGAGAACACCAATGTTGTTGACTAAAACACAGATCTGCAGAAAGATTCTTCCATATTTCCCAAATGCATCCCCCATAAGGCTTCCATAAGAAGTTGTTCTTCCAGCCCTACTGAACCGAAGCAAGAACTCGATCGAGACATTAGTTAAGAACGCCATAAAGACGACCATCGCAATCCCGAGAATCAGACCCAGAACTTTCATTGTAGCAGGCAAGGCCATGATCCCAGCACCAACAATTGTGGTAGACAAGTTAAACACAGCGCCAGTAAAAGAAGCTCCATTAAATTCATCATAACCAGCATGTTCATCTTGTCGTTTAGGCAATAAGGGAGCTGTATCATCAGCAACATGTTTACCCCTCCTTGACTTCGTCTCCTTCTTTGGTCTTATATCCCCAATTGTCATCTTTTAAATAACCCAAAACTCTAAAAACTTCAACTTTTCAGGCTAAACCCAGCTCGAGCACACTACAGGAAATCTGTCCAATTAGAAAGTGAAATTTTTTGTTAAATTCCTTCATAACAAAAACCCACAAAAAAAAGAAAGAAAGAATCTTGATAGTGCTAACCTGCAACAAAAGTACAAACCTTGCACCCTTTTGAAGTCGAAAAAAAGAGAGAATTTTACCAAATCTGCTACAAAAAAAGGTATATCTTTTCCAAAAAGAACTCCAGAATATAATCAATGAATCAACTTAGTAAACAGGGAGTTTTTGCAATCAACGGAAACTTTGTATTTCCTCGATTTGAATCTAATATAAGTACCAAAGCATAAATTGAAGCCTAACCCAGAAAAGAAAATTCAATTCTTGACCAAACCCAGAAGAGAGAAAATAAAAATTTACAAAAGCTTTGACATTAAGAATTGAGGGAGACCCAACAACAAATGTAAGAAATAGTGTTCATCTGAGTACTCCCTCCTCGTTTAACAGGAAATCCTCCCAAGACTTGGGTGTACATTCCTTTTGTAAACACAAGGCAAATTGTACGGCTGTGATGAGAAATATTAAACAAATTGGAAATTCCAATAATTTACTTTGCCGTATTACCACGTGCTGAAATGGAGTGAGAACTTAATAATATTTATTCCATTTGATTCATTAAAAACTAAGTGTCTGTTTGTTTAGCTGTAATTGGTTTTCCAGAAAATGAATTATTGGAATTTGAATTACTGGAATTTGAATTACTGGAAAATGAATTACTAGAATTTGAATTCTGGAAAATGAATTACATTTCTGTAAAATGAATTACATTTCTGTAAAATGAATTACATTTCTGGAAAACATCTGGAAAACGTTTTATGATGTTTGGAAGATGTTATTTAAACATTTTTTCGGTATATTTAGTGAAATAAAATTTTATAAATTATATAATTATTTATTAAGTAATAGTACTATATATTTAAAAATATTAATTAGTATATTTTAATATCTTTACTAAAATATTATTAAATATATAAATAATATTATTCATTATTAAATATAAAAAAAATTATTATATATTATTAAAATAAAATATAATATCTTATATTATTAATATAATTGATTATTTTATATAATATTAAAAATAAATATATTATTATAAATATTAATAAATATATTTAAATATTTAATAATTAATATTTGATGAAAATGATATTAAAATATTTAATTAATATTAAATTCATAAAATAAAATTATTTTAAGTATTTTTGCTTTGAAGTGAAAAGTTCGGAAAATGACTTACGGAAAATGAATCCGTAAGTCATTTTACAGAAAACACAAAGGAAATTCTGTTACTAGGAAAATGATTTACATTCCGGAAAACGAATTACGTGAAACAAACACGGGAAAACGTTTTCCGGAAAACGAATTACGTGAAACAAACACGGGAAAACATTTTCCGGAAAACGAATTACGTGAAACAAACACGGGAATTCGGGGAAATCCAATTCCGTAATTCCAATTACGGGAAACAAACAGACCCTAAAAGTATATCGATAGGAATCATTAAGAATCACAAATATAAATTGTAAAATGAAATTATAATATATAAAAAATATTTTTACATGTATTATAAAAATTGATGATAAGACTTGTTAGGAGCATATTTAATCGAATTATCAAATTGTTTATTTTTATTTTTTTATATTCTTTTAAATTATAGATTTTAGATTTATTAGAAATATTTATTTTTAAATATAATTAAGACTAAAATTAAGATTTGTGGGAAAAAATTGATGGTAAGACAGTTGGAAAATTTCACTTAATTTATAGGCAAGTGGCAGTTAATAGTGTTTTAACTGAAGCAATGATAACCACTAATGTCCATGTCATGCCGCAAGGGCAAAACTTGTTTGTCTCTCTGTTATGTGAAGGGGCAAGCGGCAATTAAATTAAAAAACTGAAAACTATTTGTTTGGTGGAAAACTTTATTTATTTTGAATTATTTTCAAGTGAAATTCGAGTGGTTCATCACATTCTACAAGGAAGATTTTTGTTTGCTATTTGCCAATTTGCTTACTCTACTTGTGAAAATAGTTTCGAAACCTAAAAATAATTACAAATCTTAAATATAAATTTTAAGATAAATATGGGATATATTAAATATATTTTCTTTTTATATTAAATTTATTTTGTATATTTTGTATGTTATATTTATGTTTAAAAATGGATTACACCGGTGATCTATTTTATTTTCAACCTATCCTATTTTAGTCAACAATTTTGAAAAATTTCTTTTTGGTCACTTTTATTGTTTATCTATCTTATTTTGGTCATAGAGTTGTTAACTTTGTTACTTTATTAACAATCTTAAATATTTCCTTTTCTAACCACTTCTCTTAGCTTTTGCCTCCCGTATTCTCGACGTTATTTCTCCAGAAGGCATGCCTCGCTTCAAATTTTGTCATCGGACCACAGTGGTCATTTAATCTTACAATAACTCTTTCAGCATATTTCTTTGTCTTGAACCTAATGAAATCGAACATCTTCCCATCTCTGTTCCGTTTGCTTGCTATGAACACGTCCACGACCTCTCCTTGTGTCCCAAATATCTATCATAATCCTTTCCAATGTAAATTTCTTGGGATATTCTCCACGAACAATGAGAACGTCTGACCTTCTCATCCATTTGTGTGAACGCCTTGCATGAGGACGCCTGACCTCCTCGCTATGCATATTAAAATTTACTTTGATTAGACTAATAGGTACCTTGAACTTCTTAATATTGTACGCAGTGGTCTTTAAGATCATCCATCGAATCAAAGCAGTTAGTAAATATACAAAATTGAAACGAAAACACGTTTTAGACAATAGAGCCCTCGACTTTATAAAACCTTGAACTTCTTAGTCTCGAAAGTTTTTTAGGGTTCATAATGCTTCTTTGGAACATTTAGAGTGGACGTAATGCAATGGTACATGATGGTAGACTCCAACCTCCTTGGGTTTATTGTGGCAAATGCAAAAGCGTTTCAGGCAGAATTTGTTCAGGCTCAGAGTTTTCAGACAACTGGTCACTCTGTTCCGAGCGCTCGGATGAGGTTAGCCTTGGATCGGATCCGAAACGTTGAAAGCCTCCTCTGTAGGGTATATTGAAGGTTAATGTCGATGGTGTTTTTGATCAATGGACGCGACTGGCAACTATAGGAGTCATTGCTCGGGACTTGAATGGTAGGGTCTTAGGTGGAATGACCTCGACCTCTCCTGGTTGTGTGGAAGCGAGATTAGTTAAGATACATTCAATTATCGTAGGTATTCATTTGAAAAGGGATTGCGGATGGCAGCGAGTGATGATTGAGTCTGATTCTCGTCTACTGATTAATAAACTTCATCGTGAGATTAACAACATATCAACGATTGAGATCTACTTTTCTGAGGCGTGGTAGTTGTTGTCTAGTTCTAATGGGATTAGTGTACATTACATTGTACGTGATTGCTCATAATCTAGCAACATGGGTTATTCGCTCCGGCAATGCTATGTACTTTGACTCGATTTATTTTGAGATTATCTGAAACGATGTATTAAATGAGTATTCTAATTATTAATAAAGTTATTGTAGTTGTAGGTACTATTTTCCTCTTAGGTTTGAAAGGGCCTTTTTTTTCAATATATATACATGGTAAATTACACAATTTCTCACTGAACTTTATTCCCCTCATATTTCATTCATTGTATTTTCAGTTTTCTAATTTACTCATTGAATTTTTGAATTTTTCTTGTTTTGGTCACTCTGAATTATTTTCTAATTATTATTCTATGATATTGCTTTTTTATTATTTAATATAAAAATAATTTAAAATAAATAAGAAAATAATATCTTTAACTCTAACTCATTTATCTTCTTCATACCAAACCTCAATGACAACCATTGGCCCTTCTTGTCATCATCGACCACCGTTGGCCTTCGAAACTCGATAGTTATTTGATCCCAAATTGTACTGAGAGACTCAGTTTAACATGTTGATTCCAAATTTTATGGTTATTTCACCAAAAAAATATCCAAAAATCCGCGAATCTAGATGGAAACATTCGGTTTTCTTACTTTTGATCTCCTATTCTTGGACTTTGTAGCATATTTTGACAACTAATGAAGGTTGGATTCAGACTTAGGGGGTCACCATCTACAACGACCGACAACAATTGACGTTTTGATTTTCTCAATTTTAACCAAATTTGGAGCATGTTCCGATAAAATGGAGGCTAAATTCAGACTCAATGGATCAAGATGAAGATGCCGATGGAATTTGGGACCAAACGACCACCTTCTATGACTGTCGGCAGTGACGTCCAACATCGATGAACAATGGACGACCCCAATCTATTTTAATTTAATATTTTAAATTATTTTTATATTAAATAATAATAAAAATGGCGCATCATATTAAAATAATAATAAAATAATTCAAAGTGACCAAAATAGAAATAATTTAAAAGTATAGTGAATAAAATAAAAGAGAATATAAAGTTCATTTAGAAATGAAGTATTTAACCCTAATATATAAAGCTTTCCTCAGGAGTTTTCGGATTGTTAATGGTAGTGCCATGGGAGTTACTGAGTTGATGTTCTTCGACAGGGTTAACGTGGTAGATGTTTGAGACGAGATGTATTCTTTGTTAACTAAAGTAATGTATTTTTAGTGACGTAAAGAATGATCAAAGTGATAAAATTTTTGAGTCATCACTAGTAACTCTATTACTATTATATTAGTGACAACTTTCATGAATTCCATCACAGAAAGATTAATAATAATGACAAAAATTTAGATACAAATATTATCCTTATTAGTGATAAATATGTTACTATAATTATATAATTAAATTAATTAAAAATTTTATTTTAAAATTAATTATATTAGATATTATCTTTTTTTTGTTATTATCTTCTTTCAAAATTTGCATTATAATTATTGTCCTCAGTTAATTATCATTAACAATAGCTGATGTGAAGCATCAATGTGTTACTTTTTGATAAATTAATGCAAATGTTTTCTAACAAACACAAGGAGAGTCTAGAGGCACATAACAATGGAGGCAAATTGTTTATCATGTGCAGATGCTATGGAGGATCTCAATTCCAATATCTTCAAAACATATGCATCATCATGCAGGGTGTGGGAACAACTTATTCACCCAGATAAACGAGAAGAATCCCTAAGCTAGGAACTACACTCATGGATCGTCAAAAATCTAGAACGCAATGACGTCCCCACATATGGTATATCTGACTGAAATTCCTTTTTCGGCGTAATCTTATAATCTTTATGGGATAGAAGAAACAAGGCTACATTTGAACTTGACATGATAGAAAGAGAATCTATCCTTGACAAAGAAAAGAGAATTGCAACTGATATAAGAAACTCAAAGAGCCCATTATCCCTAAAGAAAGGTCATCGATTTGCTTGGAAGGCA